TTCATAGACTCTTTTTCTTCATCTCCTTCAAGCAGTCCCTTTAGCATATCTTGCAGTGCTGGTTTGGTGGAGGTGTATACTTTTAACCTTTTGTCTGGGAAACTCCTTATTTCGCCTTCCATTTTAATTGAGAGCCTTGCTAGGTAGAGCAGTCTTGGTTGTAGGCCTTTGCTTTTCATGACTTAGAATATTCCCTCCTGGCTTGCAGTGTTTCTCTTGAGAAGTCAGCTACTAGCCATACTGGGGCTCCCTTATATGTTACCTTTTTCTCCCTTGCTGCCTTTAGGATTCTCTGCTTGTCTTTGATATTTGCCATTTTAATGATGATGTGTCTTGGAGTGGGCCTCATTTGGTTCCTCTTGAATGGGACCCACTGTGCTTCCTGGACTTGGGTGACTTTTTATCTCCTCAAATGAGAGAAGTTTTCCATCATTACTTTTTCAAACAGGTTCTCTATCCCTTCCTCATCCTCTTCTCCTTCTGGTATCCCTATTATACAGATATTATTACATTTCAGGTTGTCATGCATTTCCCTAAACACCTCTTTATTCTTTTTGAGTCTTTTTTCATTTTCTTGCTCTTTCTGGAAGGTTTTTTCTACCTTATCCTCCATCTCAGTGATTCAATCCTCTGCTTCATCCATCCTGCTTTTGATTCCTTCCACTGTGTTCTTCAATTCAGAAACTGTATTCTTCATTTCCTCTTGCCTCTTACTGGTAGTTTCTATGTCCTTTTTCATGCTGATATATTTTGCAGGAAGTTCCTTATAGTTTCCCTGTAGTTTTTGGTAATTCTCTCTGAGCTCACTGAGTTCATTGAGCTTCCTTAGAACTCTTGATTTGAGCTCAATATCTGATAGTTTACTTGCCTCTATTTCATTTAGTTCTCTTTGTGGAGATTCCTACTTTCCCTTGACTCGGGGGCGGGTGTTTCTTTTTCTTCCCATTACATGTGAGACTTCTTTTTTCCTTTTGTTTCTTAAATTGATCTCTCTTGATGTCCTGACTTTCTGGTGTGAACCTCTATGGTAGGAGACTGCTGTTTTTTTTTTTTTTTTTTTTTTTTTCTAGATCTGCCTCTGATGATGTCAGATGTTGACCCTTTCTGACCTCAGACAGTCTGTTGAAGACTTCCATGAATCTACTGTCTTTGGCTGTCTCCTTCAGCTGTTAATCTAGTCACTGTGCACTTAGCAGGCCTGCTTAGACAGCTCAGGGCAGGGCGGAGTCCCTCCTGGGGGCAAGATTATTGGGTTCTCTCACAGTGCTGCCGCTCAGGGGAGTGGTCTGCCTGAGCAAGATGGCTGTTGCCGTATCGGGTATGAGTCAGAACCAGGATCCCACCGGCCACTCTCAGTTGTCTTCCTAAAGCCTCCCTCCCCAGTCTCTTCTCAGTCGCCTTCAGCCCACTCTGCCCCCACCTTTGCCAGAGACCAGGGTAAGTGGCCGCAAATAAAAATTTATGTTTTGGCCTTTTAAAAGGCTCTTCACATCTCCCAGTGCTCATCTCTGGCAAAGAGCAGTTCTGCTGCTTTTCGTGGTTGGCTGTTATCTGTGTACTCTTTGGGCTCTGGTGCTGTAGGCTGGAGATGCCTGCTTATGGTTCAGACCCCGCTCTTCTCGGGGAGATCCAACTGGCCATTTTAATATCCTTCTGGTCTGCCATCCATGAACGCCCCGCCCCTCTTCTTGAGTCTCTCTACCACATTCCTTACCAGTCAGGTTGTGCTAAAGCTGATTCTTCTGTCTGCCCAAGGTTTTAAGGCTCCACTCTCCCTATTGTTCAGTTGTTTGTTCTAGGTGATTTCTCCACAATTTAGTTGTAATTCCAGGTTTGTCCTATGGGGAGGTCAGTGTGAATTCCATTCACTCCTCTCCCATGTTGGTTCTCCCAGGATTTCTTTCTTTCTTGTTTTTATTGTTGTTTAAGTACAGTTGTCTCCATTTTCCCACACCCGCGTGTTCCTTGATGACCCTTCTTCTTATTTCTGTTATCAACCTTTCCCCTCCCCTCTGGTTACTGTTAGTTTGCTGTTTACTTCAATGTCTCTGGGTCTATTTTGCTTGCTTGTTTGTTTTATTGATTGGGTTACACCTATAGATGAGATCTTATGGTATTTGTCTTTCACTACTTGGCTTATTTCACTTAGCATGATGTTTTCCAGTTCCATCCATGCTGTCATGAAAGGTAGGAGTTCCTTCTTTCTTTCTGCTGTGTATGATTCCATTGCGTAAATGTACCATAGTTTTTTATCTACTCATTTACTCATGGGCACTTAGGATTTCAACATAAGAAGTTTGGAGGACAGAAACATTTCAGTCTGAAGTACAGATGTAGTATTTTTAGAATTCCTTATTTCAAAATACATTTATTAAATAAGCATTGCAGCAACAAAACTGGGAATAAATAAGTATTTAAAGTACTCATAATCTTACTATCATTTCTATAAATGTAGTGGGTTATCTTTAGCCTAATTGTATTCTGTTACTTTACCTGCCCTTCAGTCTTTACTTTTCTGTAATCATTATCTGGTTTACTCTGCTTAAGTTTAAAAATAATATTTTGGTTAAGATTTATTTCATGGTATGGTTCAAGCTTAAGGAGGAAAGAGGCATTTCTTTTTTAATTAAAAAGAAATGAACACCCCCAAAATGTGAACTTGTTTAACATGTCATTAATCCAAAACTTTGAAAGGTTTTTTTATACCTGACAATGCACATTGTTGCTTCATATCACTTATCCACTACCCAACATTCTCTTCTCATTCAATAAAGAGAGAGCAAACAATCTTTGTATTTTTATACTTATCAATGGTTTCTTGAGACATCTCCACTCAAAATCCTTTGTCTCTCACAGCTCTATTTGAGATTCACTTTCACTAGTTTGATAAACTAATGCCTTATGTATAACATAGACTTTTGTTATGTGGACAAGGGAAAATAAATGTTTAAAATAGTGCATGTGGTATTTTTTTAGCAGCATGCATTATCAAATCAAGATAAAATGTAAATAGAATAAAAGAAAACTCTTGTTATGGTATTTTTTCTTTAGATTCATTTTAACCAAGTTTCTATTACATGGAAGCAATCATTTGATTGATTCATTAACAATTTACAACCATTTTTAATTGCCTACCATTTTTCAAATATCATGTTAGTCCTAGAAAAAAGAATAAAAAAATACAAAATACCAGCTCCAGTCTACCAGTACTACAAGCTTTCAGTGATGACAGAAATGTTCTCCATCTGCACTAATATGGCAGCCACTGGCCACATGTGGCTATTGAATGCTTGACATATATGTAAGCATTCAATAATGCATGTAAGTCTGTCTTTGGAACTGAACTGTTAATTTAATTTTTTATTAAGAATTTTATTGAGAAATAATTCACATAGTACACATTTAACCCATTTAAGTTATAGAATTCAATGGTTTTTAGTGTAGTCACATAATTGTGTAGCCATTGCAACATTCAATTTTAGTACCTTCATCACTTTGATAAGAAACTCAATATTAATTAGCGGTAGTTCCCCAAATTTCTACTGCTTCCTTAGCCCCAGGTAGCCACTAATCTTTCTCCACAGATATGACTATTTTGGACTTTTCATTAGATAGAATTACAATATGTAACTTTTGCAACTAATTTTAGTTTATTCAATAGCCACATGTGGCTGGTGGCTACCGGAAGAAGCAAGTGAACTAAAATACCACATACAGATGCTTTAGGAATGATGAAGGCTGAGGAAAAGATAATCCTGCATAACAGGTCAGAGAGATTAAAGATGAACTGAGAGCCTAGAGATGACAGGTTCCTGAAGGACAGGATAATCAACAGTACTAAATAATAAAGAGGAGTCAGGGTGGTTGGTAAAGAAATGTAGGCAAGAGACACATATATCATTTAGAGATGGAGGGAAGAAAATTTCAAGATTGCTTGACAGGGGTGTCAGGAATGATGGAAATTTTGTTTTGTTGCTGTTAATGTTTTTAGTGTAGACATGAGCCTATATGTATGCAGAAGACAAGGATATTGTGGAATTAAAGAGATTCAAGATGTTTGAGCAGGGTTCTGGAAGATACTAAGGTAATACCAAGGTTATTAGCATAGGAGTAAGCCCTGCTAAGAAAGACAGAGGTCATGTTTCTCAGAGGCAGGAGTAAATGAATAGAAAGTAGGCAAATTTTTGATACAGAGCAATTTTTACATAGAAAAAATGGGAACCAAAGGAAGTTATTTACTTAAGGAAAGTGGGAACAAGTCTTTTTTAAGGTAAAGTTTGGTTCTTCCAAACTGTGTAGAAGGGAATCCTGAGAAGTTCTACAGAGGTGTTGGGACTATGGGACACAGGAATGTTACTTACTTTTAGGTGTTCTGTCCAAATGTATAGGTCTTTAAAAAGGGACAAACATTTTCAGGTATATAAGTCACAGGAAGTCCAGGATCCAGATATGTCAATTTTCACTTACTAAAGAATGGAAATTGCCCAAAAGTTTACATCTGAGAATTATAAAGATAAAATGTAGCTTCACCAGTTCACACATCCATCCTCTTTCCTTCATTTTCTCCTTTCTTCCTGCTTTCCTTTTCTCCCATCTGTTCTTATATTTGTAGAAAACAATATACCCTCCTGCTTTTCCCTACAAGAATAAATGGAAACAGAACACAAAACTTTGTGAAAATTCAACATTAATCCATGTTGTAATGAATATAAAATTTCATGTTATGAGTTGTAATAAAATTCCAGTATTTTCTCATTTTTCTAAATTATTCCTCCCTGCACCCAATGTAATGAGTGGAAGAGCCAGAAACTGCTTTGAAAATCCCAAATTGAAAGCAACTATGCAAATATAAGTGAAAAATTTACTAATTAGTTGATAGTGATTTAACAACATTGCTTTAGAGCAAGCTTTCTATATACAAGTTTTAGTGATTAAAACTGACTTCTGTGCTATTCTAAATATAGAAAATTATATATTTATGTATATATTTTTTATTTTAGGCTTTTAAAACCAAAGATGGATATCTTGTAGTTGGAGCAGGAAATAACCAACAGTTTGCTACCGTGTGCAAGGTAATTTACAATCATTGGGATGGATGGATGATATATGCAACAATTCACTTAGTAAAAAGCCAGGAAGGTTAAATTTTGCCTAGAACAATGCTGCTAAGTATGTAACCAACTCAAGACCTCCTGTGTTAGACAAGTGTATGCCATTTTCGTACTTATAAATGCCAGGTACAAGGTCAGAATCAGCACTCTCACTGTATTATCGCTATTTTTTTATGTTTCTGGCTGTATTTTGAAATGAAAAATTATAGAAACTTAAATTATTCTTAAACTTGACCTGTCTACCTGTCCTAACAGAAAAGAAACAAACAAAATTAAATTAAAGGGATTTTTAAACAGTTTTTTCCCCTCCCTCCCTCCTTCTCTCTATCCCTTCCTCTCCCCTCCTTTATTTCTTCATTCCACTGCATGAGATCTAATTAGGCCCAAATATAATCTAGTGTCAAATTTATTTTATTTATCACTAGAAATTTTAAAAATTATTTAAAAGTTAGTTTTGTTTAATATGTTTTTGCAAAATTTATGTTTTAAGATTTTAGCAAATAATGTTATATTAAAAATGTTTCTCCTCAACAAGGCCTTAGAATCATTTTAAATAATTTTATGTTGAGGATACTCCATTTTTCTTTTTGGCATTGTTTAGGCATTTTTAAAAATTTGATACTTTTGCATTTATCTAGATTTTATTGGTATTTTGTTTTATTTAAGGCCTAATGCCAGGAATGCTATCCAGATTTCTAAAAATATTCTTTTTGTAAGCAAGGTGCTCACCTACTAAGGATGTTTTCTGATTGGGAAAGGTTCATTTTTTTTGTGTTAACTATACTACTATGAGCTTTCAGTTTTGTTAAAGATGCCTGTGAGTTCCTTATAGGAACTTTATTTATTGCAGATAACTTACTATATACAAAAATTATTTATTACCATGCCTTTTTTTGTATGAGAAGTTAATGAGTAGAGCTAAAAACCACAGCAAAGAGATGGGAGGTATGACAGAGAAGGTGACAAATTGAGATAGTTCCGATTGCAGGAAGGGCTGGAACATCTGAGGTGGGAAAGAAGAGAGCTTTAATAATGGTGAGTCTGAGTAAGTGTAGATAAAATTGATTCAAACATTTGATCTGGGATCAAAGAATCTTTATTATGCACGGTCAATGTTAAAAATATGAAACATACGGAAGCTGTTGCCTATGAAGTCATTTGTGTACTCTAGCTCCAGAGATGTAAAAGCCAGTTCATTGCTATAAATGAGTACAGATTTTCTTCCTGGGCCATATGTTGGAGTTTTCGCTACTCAGAAAGGTGGGGGAGGAGGGAAGAGAAATTACTGGTTGACATATTCTTCATTGTTGAAAATAACTGTACTGAATTCTTTTTGATTCATTACTGCTGATTAATTTGAAACTTTAGAACTTCCTCATAAATATCCATAAAAAAATTTTGAAAAATATTTTTATTTCAAAGCAGAATATTTTCTATAAGTTTTAGTACTAAATATGAGTTATTGTTATAATGTGTTTGACTCGTTGTTTAAAAAGAGACTATCAGAGAGCTTTGGAGATTGGCATACTTCACCTGTTTTTCCCACATGTGAGTGAGGAATGATTAATTCCTATATAAAATTCTCAGATTTTCAAAAGAAAAATTTTTATATGAATTGGACTTTAATGTTATTTACATTATTTATGAGAGATCTTGAGCAAACATGGCAATCTAATTGGCTTTTTCAACCTTCATAATTATATCCTTACATGTAAATTTGTCCTAAAAACCTTTTCACCTAATACAAATGACCTGTGCCCTTATTTTGATGCAAGATTTTCCCCCTCACTTATGTAGTGAGTTTCTTCTTAATATTTTTTATTCATATTTATCTCATAGTGGGAAGCTTGTCATTCAAATTGGCCTTATAGAAGATGAGGTTCCCCAGTTTTTGACAGTGAGCTTATCAAAATTGTTCTTTTGCCAAGTAAGGTCCATCATGAAAATAAGGCAACTCTACCTCCTGGGGAGAAATGTACCAATATTGTCTTCCACGAATGAGTAGAATTCAGTTAGGCCTAATATCTTCCCCAAGTAGAATTTGATATACTGGTTAACTAATACTTCTTGGGGATGTTCCTATTAGGGAGCTTTTATCGTCTGGGATTGTAATGAAGGCAAGGACATTGAGTTCAAGACATGAGGCTGAGAACATCTTCCTGCATATAAAGTGAATCTTGGTTTGAATTTTGGTTTATAACAAATCTTATTTTATGGATCTTAACATGATACAGAAGAGTAGGGAATGTGAGCATATGTAAAGCTATTTTAAGCTGATTGATGCCAATACTAATGGTTATTTCTATTAGAAGTATATTGACATCCTTTTAAAAGTCATTTAGACTGAAAGTTTCTCTTATTGTAGTCAATATTCATTGGTTCTCAACTTCAACATGGATAGAAAATTTTCTTGAGCTCCATTCCCAAAGATTTTGGCTTAGTATGTTAGTAATGGTCTTAGAAAGGCCACAGGAAAGTTCAATTTTAATAAACATTGTAGTTGATTTTGGAGCAGGTGGTCTGTGGACATTATACCAAATCCAAGGCCTTTTCTTTGCCTCAAATCTGGTCAGATGACATCTGGCAGGTTACTTAATCTTTGCGAAGTATCTCTACCTCATGATAAAATGAAGATTATAGTATAATATATAACTATACTAATATATAATTTCGGGGTTTTGTAAGAGGGTAGATGTTTGAAAAACTCAGGACAGCAATGGCTCATAGTATGCTCTTAAAAACTGCCTTTATAAAAATTAGGTGTGGAAATTCTGGTTCTGGGTGAGATTGAGTAAACACACTTACTACCTTTTCCATGGAATATCATAATAAAAACTAGAGAGAATACACACATCATCTTTTGGAAGACTCTGAAAAGTAGTGACAGAATTGGGGAAAAACACCTGAATTTGAAGTACCTCTAAATTTACCAGTTTTTCCTTCTGATGTGAACATAGATACAGTGGAGCCTGAAACCTAGAAGTGGGCACCAGGGACAGAGCTGAGCTCCAGGAACTGCCTTGCATTCTGGGCTTGAATAGCAGGCAAGTGAGCTCTACTGTCAGAGAAAGTGTGGAAATCCTCCTTTTTTTGCTACTTTCCACTTTCTCACACCCCAGCTCCGAAGCATTCCTATAGTGGCAGCACCAGATGAGCAGGAGCCAAAACTCTACAGAAGGGTACCTTTCCTCTTTACCACTGAGCTGTGATCCCAAAGAGAGGGGGGAATGTTTGTTCCCTGTCCTCCTACTTGGCCTCTGCCCTGAAAATATGCTTGGGAGTGAGGTAATTGAAGAGGAGCTCCAGGAAACTGAAAAGAGATAGCCGAGAGGGAAGAGCTTTGGAAAGCAATCTTTGAAGTTACTTGTTAAGTCTCGCACTCACTATTGAGCTGTGCATACACTGATCTGATCCTAAGTCAACATACCAAAGATGTTGAGAACTCAGTTAACAAACAGACTACTGTCCAGGCTGCAGCTTGGCCATTGAGTAGGGGCACATGTGGGACAGATTTGAATAGCACTGCCAAGCTTTTGAAAACTGAACTAACACTAGAACCAAAGCACACAGAAGGTCTTTTGGAACTTGCAGCCTGCACCTAATCAGGTCAACTGCTTGCTAAAAGCAATAGCAACAACATTTTTCCTGTAGGATTTAAATAAGACCCAGAAGTTTGTAATATAATATTCAAAATGTCCAAGACACAATTCAAAATTACTTAATATATGAAAAACCAGAACTTGCATGAGAACAGGAAATCAATAAATGTAAATACCAAGATGACACAGGTGTTGGAATTAATTTCCAAAAACGTTAAAACAGCCATTATAAAAATTCTCCAATAAGTATCACAGGAACTATTGATATAAATGGAAAAGTAGCAGATCTCATCCAAGATGGCAGTGTAGGAAGACCCTGAACTCACCTCTTCCCCATGAACACATTGAATCCACATTTATAGGCAGAGAAATCTTTACTGAAGAAGAAGTGTAGACTAACTGAACACCTTGTTCATTGAAATGAATGACAAGAGACAATATTGAAACAGGTAGGAGAGACAGAGGGGATCATGGGAACCCCACCCCCAATACACTGACTGGCAGTAGGGAGGGATCATTGAAGGGCCTACATGCAGCTCATCCAACCTTGGGCACAGCAAAAATACAGTGGCTTAAAGGGTCCTAGAAGGAAATCCATTTACTAATACTAGAGTATTTACCAAAGAGGAGGGGCACTGTGGAAATTCTCTCTGAAGTTAGAGACACTGAAGAGTACCATTTTTTTGCTGCCACTCCACCTTGATCAAATGGGCACAAACACAATCCAGAAGGTCTAGGTAGCTGGCCAAGGCCATCTCTGTGTATCCCAGACCCCACAGCCACAGTAGCTCTGTGGATTGCCCCTGGACTTCCTGTAGTGAATACTCCCTTCAACTAAAGCTTCAGCTTTTGTGTTCTGGACTTACTGAAGCCTCAGCCTGCTGCAGCTACAGCCCCAACTAACCTACAAAATCTGCTGTGGCTCTGCTTGCCCACCAGGACTCCCTGTGACCTAAGCCTGACCCATCTAAAGACCCAGTCTGCCTGCCAAGACAGCTGAAGTAAGGCTTGCCCCTTGGAATCCTTACAGCCCACAGTTTATCCAGCTCCAGCTCCAGCTGGCTTACCAAAGACAGTTGGTATCTGCAGTCTACAAAGCGGAAGCTTCTACACAAGGCCACTTCTTAGTTACCAGGGAAAGTTGCTATTTTGCCTAATTCAATGAAGGAAATACAGAGATATAACCAAAATGAAGAGACAGAGAAAAATAATTTAAATGTAAGAACAGAACAAAAACCCAGAAAAAGAACTAAATCAAATGGAGGTAAGCAATCTACCAGGAAAACAGTTTAAAACATTGGTTATAAAAATGCTCAACAAACTCAGGAGAAAAATACATGAAGTTCTCAATGAGAATTTCAA